ATATTTCCTCCTTGCGTATAAACACACATAGTGTTCGTTATTTTCTGAATAATGAAAGAAAGGACAAATTTGCAGAAATTTACACTCAAGAAAGCAATAAAACAATGTAAGAAAGTGGCTAGTTGAAAATGGCTACAGGACTGACACAGTTATCTCTGTCCATTTTAAAGATCTGTCTGTCAGAAAGTAGGCTAGGAAAATGTTCTTTTAAGTAAGTGGATGATCCTGGAGCCAGAGGTTTGAATACTAAATGGGGAATCTGAAGGAATGGTATTTTAGGAGGAGAGACTAAATTTTTATTGCCTTTTTTGGAGAACAAAAATATCTTAGTGAAATATATCATTAAGTTGCAGTCTCACATTTGGAATTGTTAGTGAATGGCAGGAAACACTAATCTAATTTTCATCTTACTTTTTTACATCAGACTTTCATAGCTTTCAGGTGAACAGAATCAAATTAATAGCAGTAAGTCTTTCAACCAGAAATTTCTTTTTTATTTTTACAGAAGTACAATGATAATCTGGACCAGAACTATAGATGCTTTGAAAATGCAAGTCAATACTAATGATAGGAAAAATAGCATAAGAGGTAGAAGTATATGTTGTGAATGAAATAATGGTTAGTCACTACGAAAAAAGTACAAGTAAAAAGTAAAGGAAGAGAAAAGAAGTACACTTTACTACAAGCAAAAGTGTAAAGCATCACTGAGGAGTGAACACTAATATGAAACCTCAGATTACCTAAATATCACCACAGATCATCGAGACCAGGTAGATAATTTACTTATTTTCTCTGAGATCACATCTTTTTTTTTTCTATTAAGTGTATTTGAGTTAAAATAATTGCTCACAGCCCTATTTTCCAAAAATGTGTACATCAGAGTTTGGGGTCTTTTGATGCTGCCCACTTTAGACAGATAAAGATAACATTACAGTCATGTCCTCTCTTTTGAGAATCAGGATACAGAGTGTTGTTTATATGGAAGGTGGAATGTTGGAAAGATACCTTGAGGTATGGTTTTTTGCCAAGGAAACCATAAATTGGAACCAATAATCTGTCAAATGAAAGAAATCCCAGAAAAAAATGAAAGAAAGTCCTTGTCTGGGCTTCGCATTCAGAACTGAAAATAAAACCTTCAAGAAACAAAAGCAAGGAATGAAAACTCTGAGAGAAAGAGAAAAGCAAATTTTCTGATGACTTTAACCCTGCAAAATAACAAGATCTTATGCTAAGAGATTGTGAATTGAAAATAGCTGAAGCTGTAGCATTTCATCTGCCTTTTCTACTCATTTGGCAACTGTAAGCCAATAGAATCTTCACAGCCTGAGTTTTGTTCTCATCTGTGACACCAATTCTTTTATCAGTGAACTTACTTTGGAAATCAATCTTCTCAGTTTTAAATAAGTTTCACAACAGATCTCAAGAAGAGTATGATAAGGCTTAATTTCATTTATGAAGTGTCTGAAAATCTTCCATTTACCACGATTATACCTTTGCAAGCATTTTCATTTTACAGGAATGTAGCTACTTTTTCCTTGCTCAGGTATCTTTTCCAGAAGAAGCTAGCAATTTTCTGTAAGTAACCATTCAGAGTTTCTTGAATTCTTAAACACAAGGAGCCTAAGAGTTGCTGACCTTGAGGAAGACTAGCCCTGAAAACTCACAGTACCCCAAACGACATTTACAACCTCCGTACATGACTACTACTTAAAAACACACAGTTCAGATTAAATATTAAATAAAAGCTCAACAGAGCAATTGCATAACTTAAAATGCGTCATCTCTCCACAGTTGCACACAGCAGAGAACCCAAGTTAACCAGGTTAGATTTATGTCATTACATTTTCAATTGTAAGGTCCCCAGGATAGGAACTGATTTCTGACAACTGATGGTTTGAATGAATCCTGTTCTCACACAGCATGTTACATATTCCATGTTCTGCCAATTATTCATTTGCTTCAGTGTGTCTTTTCAGCAATGTAAAAAAAATTCTGAAAAGCTCTCTTTGTAAAAAAAATCTCATCACATTCAGCAAATGATTTCTTTGAAAGGATTTCTCTGAACATCCTGCCAAAATAATTGCAGCTCATTTCAGTCCAGCATTACAAAAAAGTAGAATTTCACAAGAAGATATTTCTCTATGGAATATAACATTTATGTTTATAGGTCTACCCTGACCTAGCTGATTGCTTGATCTCATGCATCGTCCTCTATGCTGGCACTTTTCACAGGTAAGGTCAAGTTTACAGTCAGATCCTGATCAGCTTTCCTGAATATAAGGGATTAATAAGTTCTTACAATAACTGGTTTGCACATAGAAAGTGCCTCCAGATTTCCTGGAGTCTCCTTGCTCCTTCGTCATGCTTCCACTGATGACACGTGCCTCAAAGAGTCAGAGATAAATGGGAGGTTAGTGTGGTCAGGGTTGTGATTCACAGAATCACAGAACGGTTGAGGTTGGAAGGGACCTCTGGAGAGCTCCAACCCTGCTTATGCAGGGTCATGCAAGGTCACCTAGAGCACGTTGCACAGTATTGTTCCTGATGAGTCTCTTAATGTTAAGGAATGGTGCAGTGCAGAGAGGAAAGAACAGGCATCTCATTTGCTGCGTTACTAGTCTACAACCACATGTCTACATTGCATCTTTAGATTTGCAGCTGTTTATGGTCCAACACATGTCTCATGCTTGTGCAAAGTGCTAACCACTGTAGGACCTTGCATCCACACTGCAAAGGGGGCGTGCCAGATTGGCACCCAAGTGTGTGGCTTCAACCTTGGTCCTGGCACTAGGGAAAAGACTTCCAGTATACCAGTGTTGCCCTATTTGTGGCTCATTTCAGTGAATTATACTGAAATATTTGTCTTTCCTTAGGTTTTTCACCTATCACAGAGTCTAGCTTTAAACACAGATCGCATAACTCCGATCAATCTATCAGTTACCATAGCTGCATAGTTGGCAGTTTAATTAGGAAGGCAATTTGTGTGCTACAGTCTCTTTCTAGCGTTTCAGACATGCTCCTGACTAATAGGAAAAGGAAACCTGATGAAAGGCAACAAAGCAGCTGAATATTTTTGTTTGCAAAAGGCTCAAAAAACAGGAACTATTCAGAAAAGCAAGAATCCACCCCTGCCATTGAAAATACACTTCAGTGCTAGCTGTATGGCTGACCTAGACATAAGGGTGGCCTCCTTCTGAAAAGCTCAGTTTCACATATATTCATATACACAAATGGAAAGATACTGTCTGCATCTGAAGGTCTGGGCAGTCAACAATGCAGAACAATTTTCTTTATTTCCCCTTTCATATTAGGGGTCTTGTGGATTTTGCATTTATCCAGAGACAACACAAAATACAAAAATAATCGCATCAACCATTCTTATTCTTAGAAAAAGACCTTTTTTAAATCCTTAGTGGCCAAGATATAAGCTCTTCTATCAGGCAGATAGTTTCTTTCCCATAAGAGTTCATTATTTTTTTAAATTACATTAGTAAAGGTGTAAGGTTTATATATAGGCTTGCCAGTTAAGATACAATAACATTTTATCAATTGTACAGAGTCATTTCCATCATCCTGATATTTAATGTATGTATAAACCTTTTCTTCATTATGTTCTATAATTTAATAAGTAATGGCATGTTTGCACTGTATTTAAGCATATATTAAATACTTTATAAATGTAGTCAAAAATGTGTTTTAAAAATGTCAGAGCAGCCAAATGACTGCAATAATCTCATCTGCTGATTGATTTGGATCCCAAGTAGCTTTTATTGCAAGACAATGAAGTTCCATTACATTTGGGAATGCATTTTCTCTAGCGATGTTTTGTTATATCTAATGAAAGGCAGTGAATTGGGATATTTTTCTTAACTTCAGAAATGTCACTTTTCCTAACAAAAACACCCTAAGAACTCCCAATTAATTTTTCCAAATATAGTCAATGTATTACAAGGTAGTTCTATCTGTGTATAAGCAATGATGATAGTAACCAGTGGGGAAGGTCATTAGGAAGCCTTCCTGGGAATACTTATCAGCTAGGTATCCAACATTTTGGGTATTTGGAGCCAGGATAACAAGGCCGATAGGATAGTAGATCATGGACTATAGATTATTTACCCAGCATGGGATTGCTAGCTTCAGCAAATAGAACGAAAGGGAAAAGAGTTGGAGTTTGAGTTAAAATATAGTTTGAAAAGTAGGCCAAAAAGATGAATCTAACAAAAAAGCAGAACATGCTGCTGGGTGTATGGCAAAAGCTTTTACGAGAGTGTAGTTATGAGATCTAAAGACTTTTGAAAAGCAAGAGGTACCAAACATTGCTCCGTATATTTATTTCACCACTGGAACAGCTTAGAAGCATTTAATGTGCGTTCTCTCTCAAAGGCAACAATCTTCACAAACTTCACATTCAAGAGTCAAGACATTTTCTAACTGAAAGTTGGAAATGAAAGATTTTGAACACAACAGCAGCAAATAATTAAGAGCCTAGTATTCTAAATTAGGAAATATGGAGATAAAGGAGAAATAAAACATTAGTTTTCATGAGACTAAAGAAAGAAATCCTTTATTTCTAGGTGTCTTTGTCTTTATGAGCGTGAAGGATGCGCAGTCAATTCATTTCTAATATGTATATAATTTTGGTAGCACTTTGTGATGTCCTCTTCTTGAATATCTAATACAATGCTAAATGGGTTTTATGGAACTGAGAAAATAATTTAAGAACATCAGAACTCTGAGACAGTTTTTAAATTATTAAGATACTAAATGAGCAACCTCTTGTTCCAATTTTAAGATCTCAAAGATAGTTTCAACCTTTTCTTTACAATGGGGCTAATTAAACCCAGCTGATAATGATCTTTTTTAAATAGTACATCTGTCATTTTATAAAACACTTTGGATTTTTTTCTTGGTTCTGGTTTGATGTTTGTAAAAGACTTTCAGATAGGAAGAAATTGACTGACTGTGGAGGAAATAGTGAAACCGTCTATACATAAAGGGAAATGGACCGCATTTTTGTAAAGATTTTGCAGCCTACTGATGAAAAGTGCTGTATAAAAGGTAAGTATTATAATTATTACAGAGAGCTGTCAAACGCACAAAGTAAACCAATCAAAAAAGTACAGATTTTTTTCTTTAACTTTTTTCAATTATAGTAATTTTAGTTGTTACTTATAATTACACTCAGTATAAACTTCTCAGGCAGCACTGTTATTTTCAAGTTGATTGGGTCCCTTTAAATAAATCCCATCATGTGTCTAAATCAACCACACGGCAGAGAGCTGAAGCAGGTATTTAAAACCCCAAGTGCTCTGCAGATTTTGTGTTTGTGAACCTTTCAGCCATGATCTGAGTTCAGTATTTTCGTGCTGTATTTTCATGATAGAGACATAAAGGTATTCACTAATTCATTGCAGTATTTTTAATTATATGTATATAGTATATTTCCCTAGATTCTTCTGACTTTGCATTTTTAAAGGTCAAAAAAATCTCTCTGATGCAAGAGTATACTCACTGTCGCGGAGTAGTGAGTAGCGAGGAGTGATGCACTTCACTCTTAAGAGAGAAGCAGCAATATGTTTTATTGATATAAGACGATGGTTTAACAAAAATCAAAGGTAAATAAAACAGTGGTTTAATGAGATTCGGTGGCAAGGTTCACTTGGTTATTTACTGCATAGAGGATAGGGTCGCACAAAATCGTCAAGGAGACCCTCCCGTTGAGTCATGGGGTTCAGGGTGGACTTCCTTGCTTTCCAAACTCCTACCCAGTCCCAGACTTAGTCAGTGATTCACAATTACTCTGAGATACCCTTAGCAAAGTTTGCAAAGTCTCAGCGTGCTGAGGATCCGTCATGGGTAAGGAGTCTCTCGACCCCGGTAACCTTGAGAGGCATCCCAAGTCAAGGGGAGATTCACCGCCGTGCAGCCAGCTGCTGTGCAGGAGAGCTCAATGGGCTCTAGGCTTCCGCACTATTTATGGGCATGGAGTTTGACTCATGGTCGTACAATATTTGGTGTGGAGGTATACCTTTTTGCTGATCTCATGCTAGGTGTGAGGAAAGATACCTTTTTGCTGATCTCATGCTGTGTAGGGGATAATACACCCCTTTTTGCTGTTCTCATGCCCATTTCTGGCCTCACCATTTGCAACCAGTACTGCCTAGTTCCTCCTGGTCAGCCCTGGGCGCTGTCAGCCATTTGCGGTCAGTTGGAGCCTGAGATAAGGGAGTTGTACTCTGCCACACCTGGGGCTTGGGATTGGGGGAATCGGGGAGTAGTTGCACTCCGTCACACTCACTTTATTCACTAAATGGATCAAGGAAAATTACATACATATATAAACAAATATTAAGCACAGAGGATTAAGCAAAGATCAGAATCAAAGTGGCATTTGGATTCCTGAGACTTCTTATAGAAATGAATATGCCTACCCAAACTAAATATATGGAGATTTTATGCCTGAATATCTCTCAGCAAAAATTTAAATACCAGACAGTATGTGTCATAAAGTGGAAAAAAAGGTCAGACGATATACTAGAAGGTGACTGAAACAAAAAGAGAAAGAAAACTAAAATGGTAATACAAAAGAGATCAAAGTTATCACACTGCAGTCAAAAATGAGATAGGCAGACCCAAGCTATACATTTTAAAGCATAGAACTGTCTATATACTCCACTGGGGGTGCAAAGTCGTGCTATCTTTACAACTTCACATCATACAACATTGCTTTTATCTGTCATCAGAAAGTAAATCAGAAATGCTTTTCCTTTCCACTATATTTTCATATCTTTTTGCATAAACTGGGGATATTCCTGGGAATTAGAGCATACCTTCTCCTACTTTAAATCCTTTTCCTTTTTGGCTACTGTTCCCCTACTGAAATATTCTCATCTGTTTGGCCTCCAACTTGCTAACACAAAACTAAGCTGGAAATTATGTGGATGACTGGCCACCTCCACCTCTTAGGAGCCACACTGATCTTCTCATTAGATTTGATTACAGTTCTTGATAGATGAAGCTAACAGGAAAGAAGATAGAAGATGTCAAGGAAATTTTCATATGCAATTACAGCATTACCTGCAAGCTCACAAGCACGTGATTAACAGCAGTGATATTCTTATTTTATTTCTTCACTTCTGAATACAATTATCTGTTGCCTGATAATATCTCCTGTATGCCAGGAAACAAAAAAGTAAGAACAACATGATGGATCTGCAGTACGGAATTTTAATCTTGCCTATGTATGGAAAAAGACAAGAACTATCATAGAACAAATGTCACTCCGTGGATGCTTGTATTCAGCTAAGAGTGATCCTGTAATGACACAGAATTGCACTATTGCTAGCTATTACCTGTTGGTAATAAAGCAGACTGGTGAGGAAGACAGCTGCAAACCTTGTACGGAAGAAATAAAGAAGATGTTGCGCACATACATCTTGTTACAGTTTTTATTTGGGATTGCCGTATGTTTCTCACCTCACCCTTTTTTCATCCTCCTCTATTTTTAGGAGGTTATAAAGTGGTCTTTTCAATTGAGAGGCATTTACTAACCCTCTGCTTGACTTTCAGTTTTGATCCACGTCACCACATCAATTTAATTCTCTGAGCCATCATCTCTTTAAGCTGCTTCAAGAAATGCCTCCGTGTTGCGTTTTACTGTTGTGTTTTACTGTTGCAACAGTAAAATATTATCCAAATCCAATCCTATTTCATTCTTATTGGTAGATTCCCAGATCCACAAAGTCCTTCAGAAATCAAGAGCTGAAGAGAGATAGGAGAAAATGTGCAGAGTCTCAGCATCCTGCTTTCTGGTGGCCAGTGATAGCTGTATGCATAAAGAGTTCCTTTCCAAACATTTTTATGGTGGGTAATGATCTGTCCCATCCTTATGCATTACTTTTTAATTTTTTCTTCTATTTTACATGCTAAAGTGTACTGTCATGGCCTGGGTTAGTCAGCCAAAGAATGGTAGCATGATCAAAATAAAAACTTTGATTAAAGCTCCATTGGGGGAAATGGCTTATGTGTCAAATATTTTAAATTTTTTTTTATTCATAAACTAGAGAACATGAGAAGCTATTTATAAACGAAATGACAGAGGCCTATCATGCTGTGATCTCCTCCTTTTTGCACATGAAAAACATTGCATTCTTAATCAATGGATCAATGTGTTAACTGCTAGTCTTTTATTAAGCGCACCTGTACTATCAGTGACAACAGAGCTCATGTCCCCTTAAAAATCAAAGGGAAACGAAGACCTGTAACTATGATGAATTTCTGCAAGAGGTAATAATGAGGCTCGGGGAAAAGGTGTCATTAAACCAGCATCACAGTGTAGTCCACAAGACAGGTAAAGGAACTGGATTGTTCCCACCCATGCCAACGGCACTATATGGGTATATCTTTGTGGCAGAATTAGGTCAGGTAACCAGGTTCCAGCAGTCGTGTGAACGCTCAGCTTAGCTTAGCACACACAGCTGAAGAAGAGACGGTGCACAGCCATCCCTCAGCCCAGCCCAGCCACATTCAGAATGAGAAGCGGAAGAGTTGCAGTAGTGCAGGGCTGAACAGGAGCGTGCTAGACATCTGCTGCCCATGCTTGGGTCTTGGGAAGGTGTTGCCATCTGTTGCATAGATACACCAGCAGCTTTGGAGCTAGTCTGGGAACCTTTCCACTGCATACTGCAGATATGCCTTTCATTAGAGCAAAAGTTGCTGTACTATCAAGGAGATAAACTTTTCTTATTGGTACAACATTTCTCCGTACGTCTTATAGACATTTTAGGCTGTCCCCCATGGTTCTTCATTCAGTGATGAGCTGACAGCTCTAGATTCCTCCCCAGCCGCATTGCAAGGAAGTTGCATCAGCTTCAGGGCATATTAACAATTACAGAAAAGTACTGGAAGATTAGTCATCAGCAGAATGATTTATGCATCCTCACTCCAGTTGGGCACATTCAAATTCTGTGAAAATTGGCTCAGAGTTTAGAATAGACCTCCACCTATTTTAAGCACCGTTAAAAGTGAAAGAAGTGACTTAGAGAGAAAAGCTAAGGTGAGCAAGCACCCAAGCTACTACAGTGCAGACAGATCCACACCTCATGATCCGAAAATTATTAGGAAATAAATTACACTCTCAAACTGTCTCACTGATCTCCGTTGACTTCACTAGCAGTTAATCCAAAATCGAAATCCTGATCCTTCCTTTAACAGAAACAATTGTGCTTAACTTACCTTTCCTATGTTTTAGCATGAAGGTTTAGGCATCACTCATTTAATTGTCCCCTATTAAGAAATGTCAGGGATCACTAACACAAATAATGGAATGGACAGTATTCAGAAACATTATCTTACTGTGTAGCAGCAACTCTTCATTAATACTACAGATGTGGATGCTCCTAATCCACGGGAACAGTGCACTGCTTCAAGGTGCAGGGAGGCTGTTCTGCACTGCTCTCCCTGCAGACAAAATGTTTCTATCCACACCATGCTCCTTCAGTACAGATAGAAGCTGTGTGTTGTCCCTGTGTGAATATTGATGTTCTACCTGCCAAAATATAAAAAACATGAGCAAGACATAAAATGCAAAATATTGCTTTTACAGTTGTATTTAATCTAATAGATACAGCAGAAGAGGCATTCAGAGCACGGCATGAAAATTAGGAGGACAGTTGATTGGAATGGAAAAACCATTATCAGGCATTTGGAAGAGGCACAGGGCAGCAAGAGGCAAGTAGAAGGGAGTATTAAATTTCTGTTCTAACTTCTAGGTAAGGCTGGCAGAAAAAGATCAGCAACTTCTGAACAGAAATTCTGCTGGAATAAAAAATACTTCAATATAAACTAAAGAAGCAAAGATGGCAGTTATTTTTTAGTACTGAATACCCTTCAGATGTGATTATGTACATTCCACATTTACATAGTAAAAGAAAGCATAGAATCATTTGCAAAAAATTGAAAGACAAAAAGTGAAAACTGCTGAGGATAAGATAGAGTGCCTAGAAGCTGGGTGTCCAGACAGCATGACTCACTACACAAACTTTATCTCTGACAGATCT